TTACGAGGAAATATGTTTCTCGTAGCAGTACGAGGACCTTACGAGGAAACAAGTTTTCCTCGTAAAATCGAAGTAAGTTCGTAGTAAATTTAAGAGGAATTATTTTCCTAGTAAAATTTCCTAATAACTTCTTAGCTTTCTTGTAGTGTGAGAACTTACCAAACTCCCAGATTTGTTGTGAAAGAGGAGACATTGAAGAAGACTATGCCAGAAGACTTAAGACGACGCCAGAAGACTTAAGACAACGTCAGAGAAATTAAGACGACGTCAAAAGACTTCTATGAAAGTCTTTTGTAAGTCTTCAATGTCTGCCTCAGATTTGAGAAAATCTGCATGTCCAAAAATATTCAAATGACATCAAAACATATAAAAAATTCAAAAACCAATGTTTTAAGCTTAAATAATAACTAAAAGAATCACATTATGTTGACTCTATAACTTATTAGAATCTAATATATAAAAGGCACAAAAATACATATCAAAAGTTTATAGATCTACCTTTAAATGACTGAAAGATGACATCTATGTAATGAAATACCTGCAAAAACAAGATAAAATAGTGAGAAAAATATACAAAGGAGAAATTGATATAATTAATGGTGTTATCAAATTCAAATAGTTTAGAGAGAAGTTATAGAATTTTAGAGTGAGAAATATTACATCTTTTTCCTCCATTTTAGAGGAAAAAAATGTGTAAATGTTTATTTATATAGGAAGACAAAATTCCAATTATGTTAAATTTTGATACAGAAAACTTTAGAAGACCTTAAAAGACTATTCACCAAGAAGACTTACTTTGAAGACTTGCTATTTTCCCATAAGACTTAGTATTTGAGCGGAAAATAGTAAACAATGTAAGACTTAAGAAGACTTTGGAAGAACTACTGAAAGACCTTAAGTAGGTCTTCCAAGGTATTCAAATGTTTTCCAAAGTTTTAACTCTGAAGACTTTGTGGAATACTTTAAGTATGTCTTCGGAGGTCTTCGAAAGTCTTCCTGTAAGTCTTTCAAAGTCTTCTTAAGTTTTACAGATTATCATGACTAACTTACATTCATTCATCTATGTTGAAAACAATTCAATTTTATTAAGTCTAAATTTGTATCACTTACAAATGTCTATAATTAGATGATTATGATTTTTCCCCTATCAAGATATTTTTTTATGAAATTTATAAATTATTTTAAGAAGTAATACACTAGAAGACTTTCCCTGGAAGACTTTGGAAGACATTAGAAGACTTAATTTTAAGCGGGAAAGTTTTGTTTTTTGGAATTTTAAGCGGAAAACCTAAATTTTGAGCGGGAAACTGTTATTAAGTCTTCATAAGTCTTCTGAAACCTCAAAATCCAATATATATAACTAAATCACATACAAAGATTTTTTAAACTTAAATTAAACTAATAAAATGTTTATTCTACACAAAATTAAGCATATATATCTAACATCTACTTTTTTTAAAAAAAATGTTAAGATTCCACAATCTCACCCTAAAACACACATACAATACTACAACATAGTTACCAAACCCTAAACCAAAGAATATCAAAAGCAATTTTTAAGTCTAAATTTATATCACTTACAAATGTCTATAATTAAATGATTATGATTTTTCTCCTATCAAAATATTTTTTTATGAAATTTATAAATAATTTTTAAAATTAATACACTAAAAGACTTTCTGTGGAAGACTCTTGAAGACTTTCCATGGAAGACTCTAGAAGTCTTTCTGTGGAAGACTTTAGAAGACATTGGAAGACTTATTTTTAAGCGGGAACCCTAATTTTTTTTTTTTATAGTTTTAAACGGGAAACCTAAATTTTAAGCGGGAAAATGTTATTAAGTCTTCAGAAGTCTTCCAAATACCGAAAATCAAAGAGGTCGAATATATATAACTAAATCACATACAAAAACTTTATCAAACTAAATTAAACATATAAAATGTTTAATCTACACAAAACTAAACACCTATAGCTAATTTTTTTTTTTTTAAAGAAAATGTTAAGATTCCACAATCTAACCCTAAAAACACATGCAATACTATAACATAGTTACCAAACCCTAAACTAAATAATATCATGACAAACTTATATTCACTCATCTATGTTGAAAACTATTCAGTTTTTTGAAATCTATATTTACATCATTTATAAATGTCAATAGTTACATGATTATGATTTTGTACCAACCAAAATATTTTTTCTTAAATTTATAAATTATTTTTAAGATCTACAGCATGAGAAGACTTTCAGGTAAGTCTTCTCTCTCACAAAGTTATAATGGTAAACTACAATCCTATTTTTTTTTGGTCATGAGGAGATGTTTGTAATTTCACTAGCCTTTTGAGTTACTTTTGCATTTGATTTGAGTTTGGGTATTCTTTTGCATTTAAAATCAAGTTTTGAATCATATTTGGCAAATCTCCCATTTATCAAACATTAATTTTAAAGAGTTTATGTGAATATATAAATGCAATAGTCAATGTTAATGATTTGTATAGTTACATATAAATTTATTATTTACCAAATTATATATTTAAAAATAACATAATCCCATATATATATTAATTGAGAAACATTACAACATGTTTTGCTAACCACGTGTCATCACCACAATGATTTTTAGAATCCTTAGAAAAAATGTTGGTCCATCTAAGCATATATATATTATATTTTTATTAAATTAACTATCAAATCAATTAGTAGTGTACAAAATAATATTTTTTATTATTTCCTTAAATAAAAGATACATAATTACCTAATATACTTATCATATGTATATATGACAATTAATTATTTTTAATAATAAATATATAGCAATTTCATCCTCAATCTTTTTTTTGTTTACTTTTTATATTCTTAAAATAAACTGACAATCATATTAATCATGCAAAAAATTAGATTTTCTTTGTTATATGTTATATTTTGAAACTTTTTAAATGACTATAAATTTGTTATATAAAAATACAAATGATTATAAAATCATATAAATGTGCAGTCTCATTTAATATATAATCAGATTCATATATATATATATATATATATATATATATATATATATATATATATTAATATCATTTAAATAAAATAAATATCATATATCTAATACATAAAATGTCAATTTCAAAATTTGCATTGAGTAGGAAACCTCAATTAATAAATATTAACAGTAATAAAATAATACTTTTGTTATAGCAAATAAAAAAATGTTAATAAAATTATATGAGTACAAAGCTTCGATTAATAAATATTCGTATTAAATATACTATATATCTATGTTTATTCGGCACAAGCGCGGATCTTAAATGTTAATTGATCATATCATTTCAAAAATACAATTTTTTATACTGAAGTGAGAAGGTAAATTGTAACATCTCGATCATATCATTGAACTACAATATAAATTAAATATGTTTAAGAAAATAAAACATTAACATGATCTGATACTCAACAACCTTATATTGATGGTCCAAGACTATACATTTTGGAACTTACGACACGATGATTGACTGATCAAAATTAGTATTCAAAAATTATTAGTATATATATTTCACTCCGCGCATATGCGCAAGTAATCACCTAGTTTAACATGAAATTAATTGGTTGATTTATCAACATTAATTTTATAGAGTTTATGTGAATACATAAATGAAATTGTCAATGTTAATGATTTGTATAGTTACATATAAATTTATTATTTACCAAATTTTATATTTAGAAATAACATAATTTAACATTAAATGAATTGGTTGATTTATCAAAGTATTAATTTTTATAGAGTTTATGTTGTATGAAATACATAACTGCAATTGCCAATGTTAATGTTTTGTATAGTTTCACATAAATTTTATTATTTACCAAATTATATCTTTAGAAATAACATATTTTAACATTAAGTGAATTGGCTAATTTATCAAATATGAATTTTTATAGAGTTCATGTTGTATAAAATACAAATTCAGAAGTTATCAATTAATTCAACATGCAATCATATAAAACAGAGCATTGTTCGTCCCTAGGGGAAACTTCCGATAGAAACAGAGTACTCTTCTATCACTCAGCCCATTTTTTTTTCAACGTTGCTTTTTATTAAAGCTTAAGGCCCAAAGCCATATTACAAGTAGTATCAACATCCCCATTTACATCCATTCCAGTCGAAATCCCAATTTACAAAGATAAGATCAAAAGACACGTGTTTTCTAATAATAAAATACAATTGCATGACCACCACATGTACTTTGTTGAGGCAATCAACAATTCTGGCATCGAAGAGAGTATCATCAGTGACACGCCGAAAACTTACCGGACCTAGAACCACCGACCTCTTCCTCGATTAGTTGATCCACTTGACGCACCTCCTTTCTTTGCTCGCCATCAACCTAATAAGCTTCTTTTTCATATTAGATTTGATGTCCAGTGAGTTGATTTAGAGGGGAAGACGCGGGACCTCGCCAGAACGACGTCAGTGAAGAAATCTCCGGCTGATCTGAACCCGCATCAAACTCCTCCATGCTTATCAATCTTCTCGATTTGAAACACTTAAAGGATACTTCACTTTTATCAAATAAAAAGATTGACTCCTTGTTTAGGAAAGAAATCAAACATAACTAACATTAATATTGGAAACGTCTAAGATTAATTGGGAAAGAAATCGGATTTGCCACAACAAATATCGCCTTATGCGAAAGAGAAATTCGCCTAGAGAAGATTTAGATTCGATCTAAGATCGAAAGTATACACATCATAAAAACAAAAGCTTTCTCTCTCTCTCTCTATCCACTCCTTCTGAAAGATTTTTTAATAGTTAAGAAGGAAAGTGGAGAGAATCTCCTCTCTCTAAAAGAGAGAAGAGAGAAAACCGCAAATTTGTTTCTGTTCACTCAGCTATTTATTTTTTTTGTCGAAATATGAAAACAAACTCTGAGATATTATTAATTTTTTTTTATTATAAGGCTTTATTTTTAATTCCACATAATTCCCTTTAGTCCTATGAAGTTAACCAATTAATTCAACATGCTATCATATATTTCATCCTTTGGGGTAAGAAACAGAGTACTCTGTTCCTCCTTACTTATCAACCCCTCAGCCTCCACATCCTCGACAACACCGTTGCTTCTTCCTGCATCCACCGATGTGAGCTCCTTAGCTCTTTCCGCCTCGAGTTCCCAATCAGTCCTATACACCACCACCATCATACCCATCCCACATGTTATCTGCGCTGCGAGCATCCCGAGCCAAAGTCCCTTTAATCCATACCCAAGCGGAAACGCCAGAACAATTCCTACAACCAAACCAACCACATAAAACGCCACCGAATTAATAACAGCTCCAGTCTTTGCCCTTGCCGACCCTTTGAGAACGCCACATGCGACCGTCTGAGGGCAGTTTCCTAGCTCGCAAAGGCCAACTATAGGCAGAACCGTCGAAGTAAGCTTGATCACGTCTTTATCATCCGTGAAAAACGTAGCCCATTTGTTTCTGACAGAGACCGTGAACGTGAGAACCATGATCCCGATGATGATACTGATTACGAGTCCGACGATGGCTGCTTTTCTCGCTCCCTGTGGCCGGTTCGAACCTAGCTCATTTCCGACCCGAGTAGAGACTGCAGAGCTCAAGGAATGAGGGAAAATGTAAACAAAAGAAGTGAATTGGATGAGAATTCCTATTGAGGCAACAGCTACTTTAGGCTCTTTAAGAAACCCACAAATCACAGTAATTATCTCATAGAACCACCACTCGACACAAACCAATCCAACACTTGGTAACGCGAGACCACACAGTTTCTTCCATTCTCTCACACTAAATAAATGATTTGACTCCTCCTCCTCCGAATTCTCGTCACTACTTGGGGGTTTTTTGATGTAGATGGCGAGCAATGCCACAAGGATAAAATTCGACAAAACGACACTCATAGCTATAGTCCTGACACCTGACTTGAGGCACGTCACCAAGAGTGACGTGATCACAAAATATAAACCACCCACAATCGCTGTGCAGACTAACAGAGGCAGAGTCTTTGACTGAGTCCGGAGATAAGCTTTTAATGGGTGTAAGATAGATTGAGCCAAGAGATCTGGAGTAGAGTAAAGGGTATAGATGTAAGCTATGGACACAAGCTCCTCGTCTTGTTTCAACATCATCAAAATATTCTTGACATTTATCCAGAGAATGAAAACAGGGAGAGATGTGCAGAGGAGGAGGATGAATCCTCGCAATATGGTTGCATGAAAGAGGTTATAACGTTTTGCTCCGATGGCTTGTGAGCAGATGGTTTCAGCGCCCACGATCAAGCCAGAGAAGACAGAGTAAGCAGTCATGTTGGCGAATGAAAGTGCAAGGGAGTAACCAGCGATAGTGTTGGAATCAATACAGCCTAGGAATTTCATTGTGAAAAAGGGGCGAAGGTAAAAGAGAACACTTGTGAAGACCAATGGGTAAAATATTTTAACCATTGAGAGTGCTTCAATTTTAACTGCATGCAGTTTCTCGTAAAGAGATTGTTTTTGGAGTAAGGGTGTTGTAACTTCGTCACTGGCATGATTTGATTGAGACATTTTTCTTTTCTTTTCTTTTTTTTATGTTAGAAGTAACAGAGGGGTGATGATCAGCAACATTTGCTTTATATAGTGAAAATGGTCAGCAACATTAATTTTGTTCCAAATTTACCCTATGCTTTTCTTGGTATAGTCAACAATTTTCATATACTAACTACTTACCAATGATGTGATTTAGATTTGATTTTGACACGTACTTTCGATCTCTTCAATCCGTAATGACAAGCATTCATACAAACAATAGTCTTTTAGCTTTAAATGGTAATTTTCATATACATCTTTTTTTGCTTCTTAGTCTTTCTTCCAGTTTGACTTCAAACATATATGTTGTATGATTTTGAACATAAATAATATATATCTTAAAGAAGAAGCTTTTTATTAATAAATAACCAATATATAAATTATTTTATAAATTATAAAGTAATATATGTACTTATACTTTAAAATAGAAAATAACACATATTCACTGATTCAGAAGAATTTATAACTAACTTGGTCTAATTGAGTTAAACCAAGTGCTTCATTTTAAACGAGTTATAACTAATGGTATGACTCCTAAATAAGATGAGTTTAAATAGAACAAATTTCTTATTTTAACATTCATAACAAGATTTTTTACAATGCAAAATATCCCGCACTTTTAAAGTCCGGTTCAAAATCTAGTATATATCTTAAAGAAGAAGCATTTTTAATAATGCTTTCACACTAAATATTTTGAATATGCTGACATGTCTTCCTAACAATCGTTTAACAATCTATAATATTAAAGCAGAATCCCTCATATGATTCTGCCATTAATTTTTGAGTTATTTACAAAAGAATGTCATTAACATTTAATTTTAATAGAATTATTATTTATTTAAACTAAAAACAGAATACTGCCTATATTTATGCTAAGTAATACTTTCCATATTTTATGAAATGTAATTATTATATTTTCTATGCAAATTATTTTCACTATTTAATTTGAATATCATTTTTTCGTGCGCATAATATTATTTAACATTCCAATATGAAGGTATACATGAAAGTCTTTTTAAAAATTATTTACTGTGTCATTTGTACATAATATTTATATTCCAGTTTTGAGTATTCAAAAATACTTTAAAACTTATGATAGGATTAAATATTAGATATAAAAAATCAAAATTTATCATAGGTTATTACCAACAAAAAGAAACTAATATTGTCATATCAATAATTTTTTTTATTACGAATGATATAATAAAATTTTCATCAAAGTTTTAGGAATTACAAATTTTTAATTTTATATAATATTCAAACGTATGAGTTATTTAATCAAAATTTTTGAACTATAAGCAGATTTTTGGATTTTTAATAGATCACCAAATATCGGATCATGGATTAATAGCAGTTTTTTTAGATTTTTATTGGGTTTTATCGGATTATTAGTTAACAAAAGTTGCTAGATCTATCGGTTTAACCATGGGTCGAGGTTTGATATAACTACACTGCTTAAAAACCAAACCTTCTAAATTGTAATAGAACTTTTTTTTTTTGAAATATTAATAAAACAGTTTGTAAATTGCATATTTTCTAATACATGTTATAAATTAAATAAATATTTTCCGCGCTTTTAAAGCGCGGGTCAAATCTAGTTAATGCATTTAAACCTAATTCTTTTAACTACACTATAGACAATTTAATGTGTTCGGATTCTATCTTTTTCAGCCAGCTCGTTTTTAGTTCATGAATTTTTAACATCTGTAATAGTGAATTGAAATTAATTAAAATTCTCTTTAAACAACTACTGAATAATACCATTTTAAAAAAATAAATAAAAAATCATTGAGATTCACATCAACTAAAATCTTGGAATGAGAATATTCTTAGAAAATGAAAATTTCATGTCTTACCGAACTTGGCTATGGTTGAGGTTTATGTTCACGAAAGCAACAAATAAATGTGATTAATTATGAATTGAGAAAACTGAAATAAAAAAAACTACACACGAAGTCAGATCTTTAGTTTAGCCAAGTATTGATTTCTTTACGAAGTTTTCATATCATATCAAGAATTAGAAACATAATCAGATTACTAGAAAAAATAAAAAATCAGAAAAGTTATAAAAAGAAATAAATTTCGTAATATCGATTGAAAACATAATTCAGGTGCCGAGTGAAGAAATCACATTATTTTTACACGTACCTCTAGCCCATTTCGCTTGAATGTATAGTGTTTTTACTATAGTTTCCAAAACAAATTATAAGAAAATACATGTTATTGGTTGCAAAGTAAGATTTTATGGACTATATATAAAAAATTATACTGTAGCTTCTATGATTATATCTTTTTAAAATTTGAAATATTAAGATTTTGAGTTTCAAATATTTATTTTCAGTATTGTATATTTGGTCAAGAGAAACTGAACAAATTTAAGCAACTATTTTTACGTTTGGAAATTATAAGAATTTTTATCTTTTTGTTACTAAATAAATGAATTACTTCTGAACTATATTTGTAATTTTGTGTAACATTTTTTTTTCAGTATAGTTGTTATAATTAAAAATAAACGTTAAGTTTAAATTTAAAAGTTTATTTGTCCTTAATATTTTGCAACATGCTCAATAATATTAACATGGCGTCCAATCATTTTTATTATTCTTAAAATAGTCTAATGACTATGAATATTAAATAAGCCAAGATATTTTTTTACATTTTTTATATTAGTAGAAGAAAGTAAGTATGGGTAAATATATGGATCTGATGAACCAAACCAACTAGATTTAAAAGTAATCTTAAACGGAAACTAAAACTAATTAAGTAATCAGATGGATCAAAATTTTAATATCTTGATAACAAGACTCGAATCTAATACAAACTAAACTATTTTGTATATCAAAATATCCAATTCATAATTATATACTTAAATATATTAATCATTTTAAATTTATATCTATTAGATATTCAAAAATACGAAAATATCTAAAATTTATCAACATAATCACAAGTAAATATCTAAAAATAACAGTATATGTTCAAAATACTGATAATATTTATTTCTTCTTATCCAAATATTTAAATTGAACTAAATTTTATGAAAATTTAAAGATTTAGTCCTATATTATTAAAATTTTATGTTTTATATTATTTTATATTTGGATTTTAAAGACTTAGGTATATTTAGATTTTTGTTGAAAATATGTAATTAAAATGAACATCCGGGCTCGAATCTAAATTGAATCCGAAATGATTCTAATCAAATGTAAACTAAAATTTGTAAATATTCAAATAATATTTAAATTTCTAACTCTAAAAATACAAATATCTGAATAAACTAACTGAATCTGAATAAATATACGAATATTTATACCTAAAAAGTTATACGATAAATCTATAAACACAGTGTACAATATATAATCTACAAACTATTTCATTATGCGTACAATGCGGATTACTACCTAATTCATATGTATATTCCGCTTAAATATGCACACACGTGTAACTAACAAGATACAAATCTAATACACACGATATCTACGCGGCTTGGCTCGATATAGTGACACGTGGTACCTTTCTATAAATAGTAAAACTTTCAGTTCTAAATCCTCTATATATTAATTGAGAAGCATTACAACATGTTTTGGTAGCCAAGTGTCATCATGAAATGTTTCTACAATTTACTAGACAAAAAGGTTGGTTCATATAAACATATAATATACTTGTTATTAAACTAAGCATAAAACTATTATTAATACTAATCATTATTTCTTTAAATAATTTTACGGAATTACCTAATATGGTTATAATATATATATATATGACAATTAATGATTTACATATGAAATATTTGATAAAAAATTGTATAGCCTCTACTATTTTTGTTAAATTTATATTGTGAAAATAAGTTAAACAATAACATTAACTATATCACAAAAAATAGATTTTTTATATATGTTATATTTTAAATTTTTTAAAATGACTATAAATTAATAAAATATTTAAAAATTTCACATATAATATTTTTGCTTAATAGTTTAAATTTTTTTTTGTTATAGCACGATACAAATAATTATATGATTAATGAGTAAGAAATATCACTTAATAGATATTTAAATTAGATGTATACATATATATATTTAGTGATATTTTAATTAAAGTAGATACTATTTAAAATACATAAATATTTAATTCCAAAATTGCATTGAACAAGTATTGAGAACTTAATGCTATAATGACAAACTTTGAATTTATTTTTTAAAAGATGATAAATTACTGTAAATAATAAATTTCTCATATTAAAAAAATGTTATCATATTTAAAATATTTTATTATAAAAATATAAAAATGATCATAAAAACATGTAAAAGTGAACTCATTATTAGATATCCAAATTAAAAATAATATATATATATATATATATTTATATGTATGTTAATCTTATTTATTAATTAGATATACTTATATAAAGTGATTGTAAATAAATAAATATGATTATTTTATTTTAGTGCTCGCTTAATTAATTGTATATATAGTAGTTACAGATATATTGATTATTCAATATATATATATATATATATTTATTTTCTTATAATTTATAAAAACACAAAATAAAGAATAAGACATAAAGTAATTTATATATAATATTCTCATTCTGCGCAAATGCACGGGTATCAACCTAGTGATAAATATTTTGAAGATATTTATTATTTCCTTAGTTTGTATATTCGATTTAAATTAGTGCAGTGTATTATTTTTGAATATGTATAAATACGAAACAATTTGCATTTTAATTTTACATATTCTGCTTAAATGTGTGCGCACATGTAATTTGTTAAATTTTAGTCAAGATACATAACCTTATGTGTTCGAATTAAACGACACATACACAGACCTTTTCGGTTAGTTAGATCATGTTTAACACTATGGAGTTCTTTTTTTTGGTCTGATTTAAAGAAGAAGAAAAAATTAAAAACGAATCAATCGCGTACCGCCATGTATCAGTGGAGCCCGCGAACGGTATAAGAACCTAAGCAAAA